AAAAAAAAAAAAACTGACCAAGTTTTGCAAGGCAAATGAGTCAACAGTACTCAAACCCCAACTCTCAACTTTCCAGGCCAACCGCTATACTGTCCATTGCTCGTACGCGAGAAACAGTTTTGCGAGAATTAGTCGCCAAAACCTAAAATGCAACCGCAGCCCTAGCCATTCTTATGCACAAGTAAAGGATGACCAACTTCCGATTTTTGCACCCAGGTCGTTATGCCATGTATCAAGATGAGAAGAGGTGGGAGACAGAGAGGGTTCGCCAGACACTGTATTGACACAAGAAAGTGTCTTCTTTTGCGAGGCTCTTCGGGAAAAAACACGGAAAATAAAAGGGCGAAAGAAACCACCTAGTAGAAGAAATTTGGTTCCACGCCACTTTGTTACACCATTTCTAACTGTCCGTAAAGCGCTACGCACATGATTGACGCCCTGTCGTCCGGCACGTTTTCCTCGCAAAAGCATATATGGCAACCTTTGCAACGGATTGGCCATTGCTTCTGACCAGCTCTTCGCTCCGATTATGATCTCATCAATATAACAAAGCGCTTCCTATAACATATGATGCTAAAAAAAACAGTTTTTCTTTGCAGTTCGTTCATTCTCTTCGATGTTGTGTTGGTACTGGAGTCAAACCCGCAATCAACTTGCTTGTAAGCAACCCTCGAAATACGGTCAGCCAACAAGTTGTTGCTTTTGGCATTCGAGTTCTTTCGCCTTTAACAAAAAGCGAATAAGGAAGGGGTTTTGACTTTTGACTATGGCAAAAGGTACCTGAATCGACTGTAGCACAGGTACTTCATGCATCGTGAGTATATCATCGAGCAGATCGCATGTGCGTCGTCGATCAGGAAGGTCTTCAGGATGGGCACGTTCTTTCCATTCGGACTGCCCCAAGAAAACAACGACCAATTTGGGCGCTTTGCGGGCAGCGAAATGTGCAATCTCCAAAAACGATGTTGCATTGACGGTGGCCGGATCGAGCACAAACAAAAACAAACTTGAGTTCTGAAATGAACAAACACATTTATTTACCAGACTGAAATAAAGAAGTGCTAAAAGGTTCATCAACTTTCAACCGAAAAAGTTACTTTATTTCAGCACAATTTGAAATTAGACAAATTCTTGCAAATTTGGTGCAGAAAAATAAAAAAGCGTCCAAAACACCAAAATTATTCGGGCAATCGGTGAGGAGATCCTATTTTAGCGATGCCAGTCGAGTTCTCCTACATGCAGTGTGCAAATGAGCCCGATTCCTTGAGTCTGAGTTGCATGCCCCAGTTGGTACCTATCTTCTGTTCGATGCATACATGCCATCCTTTCTGAGGCCTCCAGTTCTCGATAATACCGCTCACTAATGCACAACGTTCACTGTCGTTAGCATGGTGAGTCTGTACTAGCACCCAGCCCCAGCAAGGCTTCTGATGAGTGATTGTGAAGGAAACCTATATAGGTAGTCCATTGGTACCAATGCATCATTGGAACGAATGGATGAATTTTACGACGATTTCAAAATATTAAAGGTTTTCACCCCGCCCCAACCGCCACATTCAGCAAAAAAGAAAATGACACTGGTGGATCACTGAAGTTTGCAGACCATTTGAATTTTCAGTCAAAATATTTTAGGAGCAACAAAAACATCACTGCCAACAGCACCGCCACTCTGGCATTTAGTGGGCCATAAGAAGGATAGCGCACTTCATTGGACAGATGATGGGCACTAAATAAAGACTAAAACTACGTTCGACGTTTGGGCATCTCCCAGTAACATCATTAACATGGCCGTCCTAAGCGACCTTATTTAAAGTTTGCTAGCTTCAGCGGTATGAAACAACACTACAAC